AGTTTGTGCATAGCTGTGCAATTCCAAAGCATAAATATGAATAAATTCTTTCTGTAAATATTCCTGAAGATGGGGGCAGCGCACTGCTGCCTCGCAGTGCCAGGATCCTGGGTTCGATTCCAGTCTTGGGCAACTTTGTGTGGTGTTTACACATTCTCCCCGTGTCTGCATTGGTTTCCTCTGGGTGCTCTGGTTTCCTCCCACAGTCGAAATGTGTGCAGGTTAGGCAGATTGGCCATCGGAAATGCAGGGTAATAGGATGGGATTCTCTTCAAAGGGTTGCTGTAAACTGAATGGGCTGAATAGCCTGTTTCCACACTGCAGGCATTCTATGTATTAATTTGATATTTTGAAAAAAATTTCAACATCACCATCAAAACCCAACAACTTTCGGGTGGCACAGTGGCTCAGTGGTTAGCACTGCTGCCTCACAGCGCCAGGGACCTGGGTTTGATTCCACCCTCAGGCAACTGTCTGTGTGCAGTTTGCACATTCTCCCTGTGTCTGCGTGGGTTTCCTCTGGGTGCTCCAGTTTCCTCCCACAGTCCAAAGATGTGCAGGCTAGGTGGATTGGCCGTGCTAAATTGCCCATAGTGTTCAGGGAGGTGTAGATCAGGTGGGTTATACAAGGATTGGTCTGGGTGGTCTCTGAGGGTTGGTGTGGACTTGTTGGGCTGAAGGGCCTGTTTCCACACTGTCGGGTTTCTCTGAAATATATTTGTATTTTTAAAAGTACAAGAAGTTATGTCTGATAACGTACTCAATGACAGTAAGACTATATTTTATTCAACTTGTTACCTCTGGAACAGGTAGAACTAGAACATACTTTCTGGCTTAGAGAACTCAAAAATAGCAACACTATTTGATAGATGCTATACATTTGCATAGCCATTATATCAATCAAGAATATTGGTAGTTCCGAGTAGACACCATGGCTCAAATAAGGATCTAGGACAGGGAATGGTGTTCAATAGTGCAACCCTGGAGCTGATTATCCAGGAATTGCTGCATGCTTGCCACTTGAATGGTTAAAACTGTGTGTCTTTTAGGGAAGGAAAGCCCCACTGCCACCCCAGTTTGTGCCAGAATAATGCAGGTATACTTTAGTCTGATGTCACATAGTACAACTGGCTGGTGCGATGTCAGATTTTGCATTTGGACCACATAGGTCAAAAAAAAACTTGTCAAACACTCAGCTAGCATTAAGTAGAAAGCAAAGAGCAATTGCTGTAGAACCTGACATTATCTTGCCTCTACTGCTGAAGGTTTTCTTTCAAGATCTAGCTGGGCACCTAAACAAAATGTTCCAGTACAGAAGGGTAACAAGAGACAAAGTCTCAGGAAATTAATGTGGCTACAAAGCTGTCAGATATACTGAGCTAGATGCCCATAATATAACCATGGACAGCGATTCAGGGTAAATAAATCATAGGAGATGCTAATAATTTTCCTGGGGTGTTGAAATGTTGGAAGTAGCAGGAGCACTGAAAGATAGGACAGTGAGAGAAGTATACAATCACTTCTGTCATTGTATCGAGAATGTCAATTAATAAAAACCAAAAGAACTGTGGATGCTGTAAATCAGGAACAAAAACAGAAATTGCTGGAAAAGCTCAGCAGGTTTGGCGGCATCTGTGAAGAAAAAATGAAAGTTAACATATGTCAATTAATAAGTTGCCTCACAGATGCCAATTGAGGTAAGAAACAAATAGAATCAGTGCACTGTTGTTGCAAATAGAGAGGTGGAAGCAATATGAACAATGGAGTAAATTCAAAAGGAGTTGCAGGGGCAGATAGCCCTGGTGAAATGTGCACAAATTTTTGAAGGTGTCAGGGCAGGCTGAGAAAGTGGTCAATATGGCAAATGAAATCCTAGGCTCTTCAAAAACGACATAGAAAAGAACAGCAACGTTCTCATCATTTTTTTGAATTATCCCAGAACTTAGGGAGCTTATAATATTGTTTTCTCAATGGCAATGCCTTGGACAATCAGCATCAACTTGACAACAAGGCAACATCTTTTCCTCCTGCAGTTCAAATCATTGTGATCATTTAAAGTTTGACCTTCTTGAAATTGGCCTGATGAGTGCAAGAGGAAAAGGTTTGGTAACTAGTTTCTCATTTCGGTAACTAAGTTCTATTTCATATTTGAAAATCATGACTGTTTCTGTGCTAAATCTTACTTGTGCAAGTGACGTTGAATTTGAAGGTATTTTAGTATTGATGATGTTGCTTTAATAAAATCTGAGACAAAGAAGGCTGATGAATGAAATCAGAGATAGTATGAACTGCCGATGCTGGAGTCAGAGATAACACATTCCCTCTTCCGCAGCTACACTGGCACTATCCCCCACCTCTTCCTCTGCTACATCAATGACTGTATCGGCGCCGCCTCATGCTCCCATGAGCAGCTTGAACAGTTCATCAACTTTACTAGCACATTTCACCCAAACCTCAAGTTCACCTGGACCATCTCTAATACCTCGCTCTCCTTCCTGGACCTCTCTGTCTCCATCTCTGGTGACCACCTCGAAACTGATATCTATTTCAAGCCCACCAACTCCCACAGCTACCAAGACTATACCTCCTCTCACCCACCTTGCAAGAATGCGATCCCCTACTCCCAATTCCTCTGCCTCTGCCACATCTGCTCCCAAGATGGGGCGTTCCACTCCCAAACATTCCAGATGTCCTATTATTTCAACAACTGCAACTTCTCCCCTTCAGTGGTCGAAAATGCTCTTGACCGCATCGCTTGTGTTTCCCGCACCTCTGCTCTCACACCCCCTCCCCGCAACAAACACAAAGACAGAATCCCCATTGTCCTCTCGTATCACCCCACTAACCTCCGGATTCAATGTATCATTCTCCACCACTTCCGCCACCTGCAATCTGACCCCACAACCAAGGATATATTTCTCTCCCCATCCCTATCTGCCTTCCTTGGGGACCACTCTCTCCGTGATTCCCTCATCTGCTGCACACTCCCCACTAGCCCCACCACCTCCAGCACCTTTCCCTGCAACCAGAGGAAGTTCTGCACCTGCCCCTACACCTCCCCCCTCACCTCCATCCAAGGACCCAAAACTACCTTCCACATCAGACAGATGTTCACCTGCACATCCACTAAAGTGGTCTATTGTATCCGCTGCTCCCGATGTGTTCTCCTTTACATCGGTGAGACCAACTAGAGGCTTGGGGACCGCTTTGTAGAGCACCTGTGCTCTGTTCGTGACAAACGACAACACCTTCCAGTCACAACCACTTCAATTCACCCTCCCACTCTCTGGACGACATGTCCATCCTGGACCTTCTCCAGTGTCACAACGTTACCACCCAGAAACTGGAGGAGTAGCACCTCATATTCTGCCTTGGGAGCCTACAACCCAATGGTTTCAATGTGGATTTTACTAGCTTCAAAATCTCCCACCCCCAGCCTCATTCTATGACCAACCCTCCCTCTCATCCCCGCTTCCTTCACCTATCCGCTCCTCCCACCTCACTGACCTATCCCCACCACTGACTACCTGCACTCACCTATCATCATCCCACCTACCTTCCCTAGCCCCACCACTCCTATTTATTTCAGAATTCCCTTTCCCCTCCCCCATTTCTGAAGAAGGGTCCTGACCTGAAATGTCAGCTTTCCTGCTCCTCTGATGCTGCCTGGCCTGCTGTGTTCCTCCAGCTCCAAACTGTGTTATATCTGATGAATAAAATGATTTTCAACTATTGACCACAAACTAGGTAGATGCTTGATATTGGATTGAATGTGTTGCAGTTTCTATTTATAGGTAAAAACCAAAAGAGCTGCTGATGCTATGAATCAGGAACAAAAACAAAGTTGCCAGAAAAGCTCAGCAGGTCTGGCAGCATCTGTGA